CAAACATACTCGTTGTTATCATCAAAACTCAGAGGTATAATTGTATAACCAAATCTTGTTCTAACAGTGAGTTGTGATTGATATTATATGTTCATGCATACATGTATATTGGAGTTAGGTTGGACTTTGTTCCAGTGAGGTCCAATGTTCAGAGAGAACTAGGGACGGTCTAATTGTTCAGAGATAACATTTTTCAGAGAGGAATTGGAGACATGGATAAATTCATAACATAAATCGGACATCTAAAACTTTTGGTAATACATGCACATTGGATGAGAATTGCATAGCATCTCATATGTGCATTTTATTTGCTTGTGGATAAGAATTGTTGTGTATGTTTGAGTTTTAATTATATATGATATCCTGATGTAAGGGTTATTTTCACCTTTTTCTTGTTTGCTTTGTGTGGCTTTGTGCAATGTTGTACAGATATTTGGGAGGAGTAATTGATATTGTAAGTTGGAAGATATATTTGCAACACTCTTCCTTTATTGATTATTTTTCTGCTATTAAATAGATTTTGCTCTGATCAGTAACATCTGGGAACGAGACGTTTAATTGTTTTGAGTTGATGTTAGATTTTGTTAATTTCTATAAGTTTTTCAATTGAATAAATTATTGAGGATGTCATGATTTGGTTTCGGTTGCGAGTTGTTGACTTTAATTGAAGAAAGTATTATATGTCTTGTTTGAGTAATATCCTAAAGCGTGAATTTTCTCTTTTATATTAAGAGTCGGGGTTTAGGGTGTTACGACTTGGATGTTGACCCAAAACATTAAAAGTAACTGGGCAAATGGGATTATTCAACATATGTTGAACTGCAAAAGAAGGACTTTCGCATGATTATCATATGGAGGTATGTTTACGAAAATTATGCTTAATGCAGGAGTTAGATTATATGGGGGAATAATCAGATTAAACATGTTCGATGATTGGAAGAAACTATCTAAAGAAGGTACAGTTAAGAGACAACCATGAGACCTAGGAATATGATCCCACAGACATAAAAGTTTTTTATCTTGAGATTACTCTCATTCACTTAACAGAAGCTCTGGTGTCCTCCATTCTTGCAAATACTTAGGAAAACAACATGTTATTTAAAAACAAGTCCAAAACTCTTCATCGAATATCCAAACAAGTTGTTTTCCTAACAAATCAGGCGATTAACTTTGGAGCAAAATTTTCTCTTTTATGCTTATTGATGATGATGACGACGATGATGATGGCAATAATGAGTAGTTGTCTTAATTGAATTTTCCTCATTTCTCTGCATGCTTTGTATTTTTGTATTTATCATTTTGTAATAAACTTTTCATTCCTTTATAATGTTCAGTCTCATTTATTAATGTGTTACATGGGTTCTATGTATTGTTTATTATTCTTTTTTATTTTTCCTCCTTTTTGATAATGTCAAAAAGGAAGAAATATACTCTAACGGAAGTAAAATATACTATCTTTATCTTTGAAGGAGATTTAACTGCTTCATTTTGTTTATCTTTCTCTTTTTATTTTACCGTCCCTATAAGAGACGTGTTGTCATCAGTAAAAGAGAGAGAATGCAATTTTATATGTTGTATAAGTAATATCTTCAAATAACTCTGGTTTTGACGATGACGATCCTTCTAAGGATTATTGACGACAATCTAAGTGTTCTTTAAGACAACTCTTCCAAGGATTCTTGATGACAATTTTTCCAATAATTCCTAATTATAACATCTGAACAAAAAAGTGATATCACAAATCTCATCAATCAAATGTATCAAGTTTCAGTTGAAGGTGCTAGACAAAATTTCATCAATTAAAAAAATTTAAAGTCTTAAAATCATGATGTTGTCAAGGTGAAAATATGAAAATTTGAAAACTCGTCCGATACTATGTTTATCATTTTAGTTATGATCAATTAATTGTAAATAAAACAAAAGTAGAGTATTAAGAAAATGCACCCAATAAGTATTTCAAACTTCGTTCTAAGCGGTTTTAATTTTCAATCTTTTTAGTCTTCATATATGAGGGGTTGTTTGGCAACCAAATTGACATGCTTTGGATTTTTTTTGTTCATCATAGTACTCTTTGATGTTTGATTTGTTAGAGTACCCCTTATACACTCTTTTGCATCTGCTTTTCGGAAGAAAAAGAAAACCCTTTTTATCAGTCAATTATGTATAATTTGACATTAAAAAGAACATCAGGTGTCAAATGTTTTAATCGGATTTTATAATTAGAAACAGTGGGCGCAAGTGTATACTACATTAAAATCAGTAACAACTCGGTAACTATCATGGGATAGCATAGCACTTTAAAACGAAACAGTGTTTCCCACTTGCTCCGATCATGAAATTGCGGTATCAAGATTCATGCATAGCATTCCTTTTAAGGAAACCATGAGTGGCATTAATTACTATTATTAGTAACCAATAATATGTCAACCCTCTTTTCAGTTAACGGTTGAATATAAAATATAAAAAATCTGATCTCATCTCCATGAAATTTAGGAAGAATTTAACGGAGACTATGGATAAAAATAGGTTAGACCGAGTTAGACTTTAATAAATTTGAATCTGACGCCTGTTAAAAAATTCAAAGTCTAAGTTTGACATGTAGTCTCTCGTAAGTTTATTTTTTAGGCTGAGTCTAGTCTTTTGGAAGGTCTAATTAATCTATTAATCTATTTAAAAAACATATATTATTTAAATATATGCAAATAAATATTTCATTTCAACTAATGATTAAATAGACTAAAGAATTAAAAGTACAATAAGACTGAAAGTTTATTTGCATTGACTTTTCTAGACTTATGAAATGATTTATTTTAGAAAACTTATGAAAATACAATATATCATTATATATAGGATTTCCTTAAACTTATTTTAATAAGTTGTTCAAGATAATTATATTTTACTTTTATATTTTAATATAAAGTATAAAATATAATATAAAAATAATAAATTTATTCATATTTATTATTATAGGTCAGATTTATAAGATTTTTTTGTATGGTATATGGCCAAATCTATTTAACTAAATAGATTTGTGAAAAAGTTTACGTATTATTTATTTTTTAAAAAATTAATCTGATTATGATATGTGTAAACTAAATCTAAATTCTTCTCAAGTGTGAGTCACAATGCTCCCCCTCATGTGGAATGACTCTCTTCCACATACACTTGTACCATCGCTCGATACAAGTAAGTCGGTCCCTATCTCAAAATCAAAGGCTCTGATACCACTGTAGGGGCAATTTCGAGGAGACACACCTTTGTGAGAGACACACCACTTGTCCATCTAAAATCTTAAGGTAATAGATGAATGGGTGTTCTCACTTATAAAGTGCTCAATCTTCCCTTTTATAATCAATGTGGGACTTCTTCCTCACACTTGATTCTCAACAAGTTGGTCTAACATAATCTCAATCTTATCGGAGAGTCTTCAAATTGATCTTGGCGCTCCCACTAGGAGAGAGTAGAGTAATATGATCAAAATATCTTTTTAATTAAAAAAATTAAGTTGTTGTAGATTTTTATTTTTCATTTATTATATTTTTATTACCTACGAAATTTGTTATAGATCAAAACTTTTCATTAAAATTTTAAAAAAAAAACTTAGATATAATTCTTTAAGTGTGATTCTTACTATTTTCTAATAAAAATGTGATAAATATATTAAATATTATTTAAAAAATAAAAATAAAAATCTATATGTGTAACAAAAAAAATATATTTATCATATTTTCATTAGAAAATAATAAGACTTACACCTAAAAAATTTTATCTAAATTTTGTCTTAAAATATATTACGTGTGGATTTTTTGTAACAGATTTTAGAATAAATGCATTTTATGTCCTTTTACCAAAACTTAGTATCATGTTAGACATTTTTTCAAAAATTCGTTAATGTGTGTAAGTGTGTAACCGGATTTAAAAAAGAAAATCTGATATTAGATTTTTTTTTTTTTTTTTTTTTTTAATTGTTTAAATTTTTACATAAATAATTTCTTGCAAGATGTACAAAGAATATTTAAAAGATCAATATCTATTTTTATTTATTTTTATTTTTTAAACCTTTTGCTAGAATTAGAGAAAAATAAAACAAACTATAGACATATTTTATTTTTATTTTTTAAACCTTTTGCTAGAATTAGAGAAAAATAAAACAAACTATAGACATATTTGTGGTTGGGATTGACGATACGAATATGATATAATAGATATAGACAATACGAATACGGTATGTTAGACATATCTATTTTAGTTGCACTTTTTTATAGGACGTGTCAAAAAAAAAATTATTTTTAAAAACAAATCAAGGTTTTAAGTTTGCATCTTATATAATGTTTGTTTTGTCTTGCTCAATTTTTTTGCCATCTGTTTTTTGCGAATTTTTACAAGAACAAATTTAAATGGAACGGACATTCTCTTGTGGCACCGTTAACAGACTATCACACTCTAAGTTATGCTTCTTCACATAATGACTTTACCTCATCAGACTGTTTATTCCAAAATTTCGACCTGAATGCTTATGGAATGTACCCTTTATTACTATACCATTAAGATAAAGTAAGTGTGCATGCAGTATTAGACTTGCTTTAGTCCTAAAATTTTAGGATTACTATATAAGTTCTTGACATCAAGTAGACAAAATGGACAAAACATAACTTCTAATAAGGGATCAAGAGAAAATGGAGATAATCATAACTGCCATATAAGGTGTTGGTGATCTGCTGCAGCTGCCACACTCAAGGTCGAAATTGACGCTGTAAATGAATAGAGATCTGATGTTCTCTGAGCAAAATCAATCAAATCTAAATCAAGGATCAATCTCGGGAGTTTTGTTCTCTGAGCAAAATCTGCTTGACACAAATTTACTATGGCTAAAAAACTGGTTAGTTTGTGGAGCCTTTAAGAAACAGAAACAGTGGTCACCTTACCAAGAGTCGCACTGCAACCTACATCTATCATATGATAAATTAAACAAAACCAACTTTTGTCCAAAAGAAACAAGATCAAGTTATTTGATCAATAACAGCTTCCACAAATCCCCACCCATCATCAACATCAGGGCCAACCCAATAACCAGATATAACTACTGTAGTGCAATAATTTACATTCACTTTATAAGAGTGTGTGCCATGTAGAAATCTCGCCGATGACATCAAGCACCGCCGATAGCTTCCTCTTCCTTCGATGAATAAAATGTGTTTATTTGAGATGCTACATCCTATGATATTTTGAGCTGCAATTAAAGTTTATATTGTCATATTGAAAAGGCTAAGGACATTTCATTTTTGTGTAACAATTTCTCATATTCACCATAGAATCTCACAGTGATTGACAATTACGGAAAAGGGTAACAGAGCACAACACAACATAACAGATATCTAAAAGGACAATTTATTGTAAGGCGAGGACAACACTCACTTATAAACTTATATTCAGTCTTATCTAATTCATATAATTCAACGTGAGACTCTTAACACGTGATTGAATGACCTCATTCCATAAACTAGATATTTATAACACCCCTGTACAAACATTTCCTTTGGTTTAGTATCCAAAAGCATGTTTCCAAAATGAAGATGCAGATTCAAAAACTTTAATCCAACCTAATAACCTAACCAGTTAAATGTTAATAGCAATTACACACTAACAGTGACTAATTAAATTCCTAAATCGTGCTTTGAAATATGAAGAATTCAGGGAGAGGTTGAAAAGAAAACCTGAAGTAATTGTTGTTTTCCTTGAAAGTTCATTCGGAGAATAATCTAATCCACGCAGTTCCTGAGAAAAAGTTATATAAATAACTGCAACGCAAACAATATATTAACGGAAAATTGAAAGTGAAGTTGATAATGATATAGAAAGAAAGGTTACATTGTTTACGAGTAAAGGAACGGCGAAGCTTGTGGAGAGTATATACGCCATTATGGAACATTCAAGACTCTGCACAATGCGCCAACCGGGAAATGGAGTCACATTTGCCAAGAATAAATTACCCGAAGATTGCCCAATCTTTTTCGGGTTGACCCGATTTTGCCTCTTTTTATAAAAAAAAAGGAAATTTTTCTTTGAAAATTTTAAAATATTTTTGAGTTTTTTTGGACATACATTTCTAAATATATCAAAATCTCTTTTTCTTTTTTTTTTCCGCTAAAATTTACTCTTTCATTCTAAATTATAATATATTTTGAATATTTCACACGAATTAATGTATGGAAAAGACAAATATTGTATGATTTTACAATAATGCCCCTTATAATTATATAAGAGAGAAATTAAAAAAAGTTGAAAAAGGAATAGTAATAAAACTTGAGGGTATATTAGGAAAAAAATTATAAATGTTGTATTGTAATTGTAAAGTGACTTATGATTTGAGATGATTTTTTTTGCAAAACGTCTTATAATTTAGAACATAGGGAGTGGTTCGGAGATACATCTCCGAATTTTTCTGAGGTTAATTCGGAGTTGTATCTACGATAATATACCTGATGAAATAATATTGTTCTTGTATTTTTTCCATAGAAGGAACAGTTTTGTGATGGTGCCGAATACAGTTGGATCGATGGTTTGAAGGGTTATGTTAGCGCACAAGTAGGTTCTAATTCGTACATTGAAACGAATAATTAAATTTATAGAACTCATTGACATTATTCTTGTTTCTAATCAGTACCGTAAAAGTTGTGGAAAAGGATGTAGCATGGTCCAACAATATTGATCCTTCTGGTCGTGCGGCACTTGGAGTTCATTCAGATGCATACAATAGCAGATACCAAAATAGTTGAGCCCAAAAATGGATCCCTCTGAAGGCCATGGTGGATTGTTAAGTAAATTTTAAAAAATCTAGAGAGTTAAAGTTGTTTTCATTTTTCACAAACATAGTACAATAGTATTTTCGGAGATAAATCTTCGAATTAACATTAAAAAAATTCGGAGAAGTATCTTTGAACTAAATTTTGGCAAAAAAACTAGATTTGGTGCGTTCGGAGATTTATTTTCGAAAATAGGGGACATTTTTTACTTTTTGTCAGAGGCCTGGGAGAAGGTGATAGGGTGCAAAGAGAAATTCCCAAAAAAAAAGGAAATTTTTTAACCCACCCTATATCTGAAAACCACTCTATGTAATTCCAAAATTGTCCCTCAGTTTTCGGAGATGTATCTTCGGACACATCTTCATTTGTTAAACGTTAGATTGTTTCGAAGATGCATCTTCCTTTGCACCTTTATTTGTTAAAAGTTAAATTGTTTCGGAGATGCATCTTCGTATTTCATCGAAAGCATTCGAAGATGTATCTCCGTATCTAGTGCAGATAGTAAATTCTAAGTATTTTTAAGTGATTCTCAGATTAAATAGTCAGAAGGTATACTATGATTCGATAATACTAAGGCTATGAAGATAATGACATATATAAAGTTATAATTCAATAGTATATTGTTGTACCCCAAAATTTTCCCTGCCATTTTTCATTCAAGATACTATCCTGGGGTTTCTCAAGTACTCAATTTGGCTCAGAAGTTGATCAGACAAATTCTCTTCCTAGGTTGTAAGTCAACAATTAGGGTTTGGTATTTCTCAAAGAAAATTGACTCTTCAAGGTTTCAAATGGTCTTCATAGATCTTCATGTCTCCTCAAGGATGTTCGTGCCAAGTTTCAAATCTCGCATTGCAAGTTTGCTCAGTCAATGGTTCAGATGACTGAAAATGACTCCATTGACCCAAAAGTCAACCTTTTGCGAGACCAAGTTCAAACGATTGTAACTTCTTCATTAATCGATATTCTTAAGCGGTTCTTTTTGTGTATGACTCTCCTTGACGTCATCTCCAATTTCTTTTCACAAATCAAGAGTTGATTATGCGCGGAAGATCACAAAAATTTGAATACTTTAGAGGTTGCATCATGGATTTGACCTAATCTTAAGTAATTGTCGTCTGACTTCTAAGAATTGTGATTTCTTCAAATTCCAAGATCTTGAGACGATTATTTCTGCATATTGTCATAAGTCATGTCGTTTACGAGTTTATCTTCAAAGATCAAAGGAAAATTGTGTTTGGAAGACTTTGAATTTCAATTCATACCACAATTGTTTTCTCAGGACTATGATTCTCATGTTGAAGTTGTTACTTTTACAAGATTGATGAATAATCTTAAAGCATATGTTTCGAGATTGAATTTACGTTTGGCAATGAAGTTCCATTTGAATCAAGCATGGCATGCGAGTTTCATTTTGAGTGCAGGTTGCATGGAATCAAGAGGGTATACAATGTTCAAAACATACCCAATATTATCAAAAAACTTCACTCAATACATGTTCGAAATCGCATTGATTCACTTATGTGTCAATCTCCTTCGAGCTTTTGAGACCAATGAGTTTACACAAGGAAATTTAGAGTTTCAATCTCATAAACCATTCAAAGTTGTTACATTACTACAAGAAATTTACAAACTTCAAGTTCCATCAATTTATGTTACAAAGTTACAAGTTACAATACAAACTACAATTGTTTTGTTTACAAAGAAAGAAATAATATTGATTCTTCAAGTCTTCTTTGCTTCATCTTTAAGCAACACATCCACTCCTTGCTAGCCATGGTCTTCTCTCCATCTTTTAACCTTGCCTCACTTGCCATCCACTCCTTGTGTTCATGAAACAAGAAAAGGAAAATTTAGCAAACAATCGACATATGAAAATTCAAGCGAGAATTATTTGTTAAAACAAGAAAGCTCATCATTAGGATTTGCATTTGGAATCAGAACTAAAAGGGTTTTTGTTTTAAATCATAGGTTGTCTTCTCCTATTTTTGAAAATCACAAAAAGTTTGTTCTTTTTGGTTCACAAAAATAAAAGAAGTTTGCAACTATTTCCCTACTGCAAAAGTAAGTCAAAACTGTCAAATATGCAAGCTGAAAAGTATCAAAAGAGCATGGCAACTAGGAAAACAAGGTAACTGCAGCAACACATGACAACAAGTTGCAACAAGACAGCAACAAAAACCAGCAAACTTCTCAAATGCAGCATAAACAAAAGCAAAATAGCAGCCTGCAATAAGATAGCAACAAAAACCAGCAAACTGCCCAAATGCAGCATAAACAAAATCAAAACAGCAAAGCAAAAAACCGAGCACATCAGCAACAATTCAAAAATGGCAAGCTATCAAATAGCTCCAAGCCCTGCATCATCATTTTCCAAATGGCAAATCCTTCAGATTATGTAAAAAAAGAGCACATTTGTTTTACATTACAGAAAGATGAAGAGGGAAAGAGAAAGAGACAAAAGGATATCACCTAGCATAAAGCAGCCTAAAAGATGTAAAGAAAAAAATAGCCTGCAATGATGCACTACAAAACAGCCCTATATCAGTCTAAAGTTCTGCTCCACATACTGTCAAAACCTGCATCAAAACCTGTCCAAAGTAGCCCAGCACTTGCACAAAGTTGGCAAAACAAAAACTGCAGCCACAAAGCAATAAAAGAGTAGCCAAAATTGTTCAAACCTCTCATATTTCCCCCTATTTTTCCATTATGTTTGAATATAAGGGAAAGAGAACATAACAGTAAGGGGAAGGCAACAGTATGTAAAAATCCCAAAAGAATTCAGAAAACATTTTTCTGCCAAAAAAAACTTGCAATAGTTTGGTACTCTTTCAGACCTATTGCAATACCAAAAACTCTACCTCTCTACAAAAACTCGGCCTTGTACCTTCTCCAATGCTCGACCACCAATTCTACAGACCTTAATCGCACCTTGCAAGTAACCTAATCCCAACCTGCATCCGAGTCCCAAACCTCACACTATACTCCCTCGTTACAGCCCCATACGCAAACAACAACAAACCAACATCATTTTTAAAGGTAGAAGATCAGAGAAAGAAGATAGAGGACGAACACAAGGTTTTAAGCAGAAAAGAATTCAGATTCATACCTAACTTTTTCTCCCTCGCCAGATTTGACTAGTTCAGACTGTGTAACCTCTTTCTCCTTCCTTCAACTTATAACTTCTTTATCATTGCTGACATGTTTTACTGTATTGTTACCTTGCATCGAGAAACCTGAAATTATAGCAGTATTGTTATTGTTTGTTTTTGCTAAAACGTATAATAATGACAATGGAGACACAATCACACTACTAAGCTTCCCCGTAACTCGACCGTCTCTGTCCACCGGCGCCGATAACGACTGGTCTTTAAATTTGTCCCGATTACTTTTATCCAACAGTAATTGTCTTTAAATTTTTTTCGGACTCGTAATAATTAAACAGTTTAGACTTTAAAACCTTGTGTCTTACCCGAGGCACAACGGTCCATTTGTGAGGGTTGTTACTTCATTTTCATATGTCATCAATAAATCATGGACGTTTTTGCAAGCAAATTTTACGCTCTTTGTTCTTATTTTTCTACATTTTTATTTTTTTAAAAGATAGCTATGCTCTTACACACACTCACATATCAAAATGCAGATCCACATCCACTCAGGATCCCAAGGGTAACGATTCTGCTATGGCCTATTGTGACTTTGAAAATCCGATCTACCAAGCCGAAGACGAAGGTGAGAAAGATTTTGAGGTACTAGGGGAACTAGCCAGGTTACTATAACAGGAATAAAGGACCATACAGCCCCACGAAGAGCCGGTTGACACAGTTAACTTAGGTACCGAAGAGGACAAGAAAGAAGTCAAGGTAGGTGCCAATCTGGAACCTGGTGTCAAGAAGCGCTTAACTCAGTTACTACATGACTATGTTGAGGTCTTTTCCTGGTCATACAAAGACATTCCAGGACTCGACCCTGATATCGTGGTCCATCATCTGCCGACAAAAGAAGATTGCCCTCCGGTAAAACAGAAAGTCCGTCGCATGCGGCCAGAAATGTCAAAGAAGATCAATACTGAAGTCATGAAGCAGTTCAACACCATATTCTTAGCCATCACCTCCT